TCCCGTCTGCTTTCCCGTTCGAAAGAGTGCCAAGTTTGTGCACCACCACGCAGACGACGTCAGACTTCCCGTTATCTGTCCCTGGTTCTGTGAGCCCTTCGTCACACGTGGCACTTGCGTTAAGAATATTCCCCACAACGCATGTGCAGCAAGTGTGTTCACTCCGTTGCCAGCGCACAAAAGTGTGTCAGAGACCTGACAGCACGTAGCATTCACACGCCCCAAAAAGTAGAGAATGAAGAATGCCCCCACTAATCTACTGTTTTAATTAGTTATAATTAATAATTAATAGTTAACTAGTACAACGTCCCTGTATTACACGGGTATTTGCTAATTTTTTCTTAAAATTTAATATTAATGAGAAAAAGTAGTTGAAAATTTAAATATCTTTTATAAATATATATATTATTATATATTTAGTATGACACTTTTTATTCGTGCAACTTATATGTGTTATATTATAATAATTTTTAAAATTTACAACATATAACTACATTAAACATAAATATATCAATTTAGAAATAATTTTATTTTTCTAATGAATTTTAATATATATTATTATTTTTTATTATTATAAAGATAAATATAATTTATTTATTTCATATATACAATATGGATGTCAAATCGAAGATCATCAAAAGATGGTTAATTTGATATATTATATATGTAAAAAAGATAAAAAATATAAAAGTTATCAACTTTTAAAATACATTTAAAATTCAATAGCTAATTGAAAGAAACAAATCAAAAGTCAATGATATATTAGTCACTTAGTGCCTCAGTATGTAAAATTACAAAGAAATAAAGGGTTATATTAGTAAAAGTGATATTAAAATACCTAAGTTAACTAAATAATATTTATGGAATGTCCAAACCTAAATTAATAATTAATTATTAATATATCAATATTATTTGTCCAAACCTAATTACGAAGCATGATTCTTTGCCAAGTAGGATTCCGAAGCACCAGAAGCAGCCACGTAGGCTCAACGCATTCGGGAATAATATATAGGGAGGATTCACTGTACGACTCCTTAACCAGGAAAAGAAGGATTTCCTATCTCCAACTATGAGCATTTTTTTTAAGCATGTGGTTAGTGGTATACATTCCTATGCGAGCTCGAAAATATATAGGTCTTGTTTGGCGATTAGCGGATAGCGGATTGTATCAGCGGATAGCGGATAACGGATTATATTAGTTGATTTGATCAGCGGATTGCATTAGCGGTTTTTGAATAAGTGTTTGATAAATAGTTGAAAGCTTATAGCTGTTTGACATTGCAAAAAATACCAATAATGACATTTTATTATTTATGGTGTATTTTTTTAATAATAATATATTAAAACATTTGATATTCTTTAGTTGGTAATTTATAAATATATTATTTTTTTTTTAAAATTACTAACACTTGATGAAGAAGTTATGAATTTAAATTTTTTTCTAGATAAATTAATAATATGGATGACATATTATTATTTATTAGCACCATAAACTAATGTAGATTGTAAAATAAATAATACAAATAAACAAGTTTCAAGTAAATAATTTTTGTGAATCATCTATCCCAAAAAGTTGCTCTAATGAGCTTTTTCTAAATTAGAGTTTTGGGCCCAAAAAGCTTATCAAATATGCTATTTACCAAACAGGCTCAATAGCGATTTGACGGGTCAAACCTCTCAATTAAGTCCAATCCGCTAATTTATGTTCAATCCGCTATCTTCCAAACGGGGTCATAATCTTTTGTATTACCTCCTATTCTTTTTAAATGACATTTTGACATTATCAACTATTAATAAAATAAATATCGTTTTAGATATTTTTATACATATTTTTCCATTATTACCATCATCTAGCTATTAAATATACTACGTCTTTTCATACTCACTCTTCATCTTTTCTCAAAACATTCATCTCTATCTTCATTAATGAGGGTTATTATTAGCAAAAAAATATTTTAATAACTGTGCAACTTCTCAAAACGATTCTTATTATGTATAGGAGGGAGTATATATATATGTACGTATAGGTAAATCTTCATAACATAAATGTTGGAAATTTGTATGCAATTTCTATGCACTTGCATACAAAGTATATAGTTATAGAGAAACATTTGTAGGGGAAAAAATTGTCGGCAATCTCCTGCATTTACCTACAAAATATATGTGTAGTCAATCTCTAGGTATTTACCTTCAAAATATATTTATAGGAAAGTACATAGAGAAAAAAACTTGTAAGGGAAAAAAAAATTACAGGCATTCTCTAGAAGTTTACCTACAAAATATATCTATCTATATATATATGAAGAGATTGTTGGAAAAATACATTAATAGAAAGTTTGACAAAAAATATAATATTTGACTTACTATTAGTGAAAATTTTGAAAAAATACATGTTAAACTTTAATAACAAAATTTAAATCCTATATTTTTGGTGACGAATCTGAAGATTTTTATGGTAAAATTTGAATCTCATTTTTTTCGCATCATTTTTTGTTTTTATACCGAAATCTGAATTCCATTTTTTAATAACTTTGGAAATTCTTATGCAAAAAATGTGCAAAATTATTTTTAAAGCAATTCTAAATAAAAATTAATTTAAAGACCGTTCAGTTAGGAAACAAATAATTTTATAATTATTAACAAATTCTTTCAATATTTTTGAATAATTTTTTCTTTCAAAAAATATGTGCAAATTCGATAAAAGTACATTCAATATGGTATCCACTTTTTTTGGTAACAAAATCAATTCATCTTTGATATTTAAAGTCAAATATTATCCAATTATTTAGGAAAAAAATTCAAATCAATTTCAAAATTTGAAGGCACCGATTTGGTTGGATTCTTATATTTTTCTACCCATATTTACCGATATTTTGGTAATTACATATCAACTTTATTTTTGTTAACTTCATATCAATTTTTTTAGGAAAACAGTTGCATAAATCTTAACAACTTATTCTAGAATGAATTTTAATTTAATTTAGTTGGTAAAACAATCGGTGCAATGTTAGAAAATTGGGGTTGTATTTCTAGGAAAAATGATGTTTCTTTTCACTTTGTTTTAACCAAATATTCGGATCAATTTGTTTGATAAAAAATCAGTGTATTGGTAGATAAATCGGTTTCATTTTAGGAAAAACTAATGATTCTTTTCAGTTTTTCTTAATCAAAATTTTGAATTATATTTATAAAAAATATATAATGGCGTTAAAATCCCTAAAAATTTCTACTTTTTTTTTCTACTAGAATTTTGTTCAATAAATAAGATCCCTTCACTTTTTTAAATGTAAGTTGTTATTTAATAACTAATAATACACAATTTTAGATAAAGTTCAAATACCAATGTAGTACTTTACGTGCCAAAGAATTAACAAAAAATATAGTACATAAGGAAGTGTTCAATAATTTAAATTTCATTTGCATGATATTTATAATGTCAGCAGACGATCGAAACATAAAAATACATTTTTAAAAAGTAAGTAAGTAATAAATGCTCTCGTACATCACACGAGTACTGTACTAGTTTGTTAGTATATACCTAGAGAAAAAATTCTAGGAAACTCTTTATAACATAAATGGTTGAAATTTGTAGCTAATCTCTAGCCAATCTTTAAGCATTAATGCATAAAAGATAGTATAAATTAACGTGTTTATTCCTTTTTTTTTTTTGAAAAAAAATTATATATAATTCTTAAGTCAACATTTGCGCGCGTTCTACACAACAATTGCACTAGTTTAACAAAAGGTTGAATGAGTTTTGACATTTGTTGCAAGTAGTGCTGTTAAATTAAATGAATTTGGCTTGGCTCGGCTCGAGTTCGGCTCAAGTTCGAGGTCTTAACGAGTCAAGTTCGAGCTCATTAAAACCTCGTTTGGCTAACGAGCCGAGCTTTAAGACTGGAAAATAGAATTTTATAGTTCGACTCGTTAAAACTCGAGATCGACTCGTTAAGGCTCGAGCTCGAGGCCTTAACGAGCTCGAGCCTTAACGAGCCGAGCTCAACTCAATTTTAGGCTTGTTCATTTAACGAGCCGAGCTCGGCTCGAGCTCGAGCTCGAACACCCTAAGCTCGAGCTCGACTCGACTCGTTTACAGTCCTAGTTGCAGGGCATGATATATATGTTGGGATTTAGTTTAAGAAATCGTACACAACAAATATTCCATGACAGTAAGTCATAGCCAAATCTTGTTAATTACAGTCTCTGGGTACGTACAAAGAATCCCTGAATGTCATAGACTAGTATAAGATGAGCAATAAAATTGTCCACCCATTTTGTTTTCACCTTTATCCGATTCTTTTATTCTTTTCGATCACTCTACATGAGTTTGTACACATTGCAACTCAACTATATGATTGAATCTATAATCATGATTAGTCCAATCAATCCCTAAAATTATACAACCAACTCACCGGCTCGTGGAGAATCAAAAGTGTTTGGTAGCCAATTAAGCTAGATTATAAGGATCAACAGTGTTCACAATTCCCCTTCTCGGTGACCCAAACTCATAAACTATCGGTGATAGGTGAAACGTCTTACCACTCCTAGTAGCGGTTGAAGCCTATACCGCTGCTTACCACGTACAGTCCACTTCAAGAACCGCCATTGCTGCTCGGGAAGAGGAAAATACCAGGTCGGGAGGGATGAACGACTTCAGGTTAGAGGAGCGTCGTCCGGTCAAGTGCAGGCCGAAAACATGGAGAGACGGAACCGACCAATGGAAGACGAATCACAATAGAGCGGCGAGGGTTTCGGAGAATTGGGGATATTGGGGATTAGAGAGAGAAAAATGTCGTTCTAAGTTAGTATGATAATTTAAATTTTAAAAATATATAAAAACTAGAAACTCCAAAATTAAATTCCGAATTTGTCCCTCTGCCCACCCACTCCCCCACATATTCCAATCTTATATATGTCGCGACACCACAGTACAGTACAGAGACTATCAGAAACCACTGCTTAACAATTAATCCTAACCTCTGCCAAAAACAGTGCCATTTATGATTTCCACCACTACCAAAACCTCCTCCAACGGCGAGGCTCCGCCGGAGGAGAGATGCTCCGTCGAGGAGGTGGCCCTGGTGGTGCCGGAGACTGACGACCCGACCCTCCCCGTCATGACCTTCCGTTCGTGGGTCCTCGGCCTTGCCTCCTGCACGATTTTGATCTTCCTCAACACCTTCTTCATCTACAGGACGCAGCCGCTCACCATCTCCGCCATCCTCATGCAGATAGCGGTGCTTCCCGTCGGGAAGTTCATGGCGGCGACGCTGCCGGAGAGGGAGTTCACGGTGTTCGGACGGTGGAGGTTCAGCCTCAACCCGGGCCCGTTTAATGTCAAGGAGCACGTGATTGTGACGGTCATGGCTAATTGCGGGGTCTCGTATGGCGGCGGCGATGCCTACTCCATAGGCGCCATTACCGTGATGAAGGCTTATTATAAGCAGAGCTTGAACTTCCTCTGCGCTCTGTTAATTGTCTTGACCACTCAGGTATTTTCTTTCTTTTCTCGAAGTTTTCTTCCCAATTCTCCAGGAATTTTGTTCTCATCTTTTGTGTGTGTCTGTGTGCGAGTGACCAAAGATCCAATTTTTCTCTTCATAGTTTTAGCCTTCCATGGATTGAACTTGGATTTTGGAAAAACAAGAAAAAGTTTCACTTTTTCCACTTAAAAAACAAAGAATTGTGGAGAATGGTCTGTACCCCTTCTCTTATATTTTGCATGACGTCTGTGTTGAACTATAAATACGCTTTCTCTTGCCCCAGTGGGATTGCATAGTTCGATTTGTTAAGAAACCCACAATTTTAGGACTGAAGGGCTGAAGGTCTTCTATCCGAGCTAGCTTAAAATTATAAGCACAAAAAAATTTAACTAAGAACATGAACGATTGATATATTATAGCTGTTGTGATTGTGCTTCACTCGGGGCGTTTTCGTTGTGAATTCAGATATTGGGGTACGGATGGGCCGGGATGTTGAGGAAGTACTTGGTGGATCCAGTTGAGATGTGGTGGCCTTCCAACCTCGCTCAAGTTTCTTTGTTCAGGTCCATAGTTTTACCTTCTTTTCATCTCTTTATTAGTAATCCTACTGAACATAGGACTTGTCATCACTCAAGTATTTTCACACAATATTCTTTGTTTGTTAGAGTTTTCAGACTGAAATTGTTTTATGCACTGTGTCTGAACAAAGATGAGATACTAAGATTGAAAGTCCTATGCTACCTGGACTCGGATATGGGTGGCGTATCGGGTGTGGAGATATGAGCGTCCGACTCGTCAATAGTTTAGAAATCATGAACATTTTAGGCTAAAATGCCTCACCCGACACTCATACCCACACCAGTGTCGACACAACATGACACGGGTATTCTTCCTAAATAGAAGAGTCCGGGTAACATTTTTGAAACTGGTTTGTTCACTGTATTTGAACAAAGATGAGATACTAAGATTGTCTTTTTTTTCCACAGAACAATATCAGGATAATGACTTCTCTTATAAAATGGAAGATAAATTATTAGTGGAGGACAGGCTGAATTTTCTTCTATGTGTTGAATGGTTGTAATTTGTGTGATCCTCTTTAAGTAATATTCTGAAAACAACATTTGAATTGATATTATTGTCTGTGTACCAGTCAACATCTAGACCATAACATCTTCTGTGTAATAAAAAATATAAGATGTATTTTTCTTTTTTATACAGGGCACTTCATGAGAAGGAACACAAGTCACAAGGCATGGCAAGGATGCGATTTTTCCTAATATGCATGACAGGAAGTTTTGTCTACTACTTATTCCCGGGATACCTATTCCAGATTTTGACCTTCTTTTCTTGGGTATGTTGGGTTTGGCCCCACAGCATCACGGCCCAGCAAATTGGTTCTGGATATCATGGACTCGGGGTGGGTGCCTTTACCCTTGATTGGGCCGGAATCTCGGCATACCATGGCAGCCCATTAGTCACGCCCTTTTCGTCCATTCTGAATGTCATGGTTGGATTTATCATGTTTATATACATCATAGTTCCGATTTGTTACTGGAGGTTCAATACGTTCGATGCCCGTAAATTCCCCATTTTCTCAAATCAACTTTTCACTTCAAGTGGACACAAGTATGATACAACTAAGATCTTGACCCCACAGTATGATCTCAACATTTCTGCTTATGAAAGATATAGCAAGCTGTACCTTAGCCCGTTATTTGCACTATCGATCGGATCGGGATTCGCAAGATTTACAGCGACACTCACACATGTCGCATTGTTTAACGGCAGGTTAGCTACTTTGAACTTTTCATTTCGTTAAACAATATAACTTTCTGTCGAACTCCCAGTAAAAAAGCTAAAAAAATTGGGTTTTATTCGTTTCTTTTGGTCAGTGATATCTGGAAGCAAAGTCGATCTGCTGTGAAGAACATGAAATTAGACGTACATGCAAAGCTGATGAAAAGCTACAAACAAGTACCTCAATGGTGGTTTCTCGTTTTACTTGTGGGCAGCATAGCTTTATCCCTGTTGATGTCATTTGTGTGGAAAGAGGATGTGCAGTTACCATGGTGGGGAATGCTCTTTGCATTTGCTTTGGCTTGGATTGTAACACTTCCTATTGGTGTCATTCAAGCTACTACAAACCAGGTATCATGTATAAACCTTGGCAATGTTTGTTGTTTACTTATGTTAAAAATATTTGACCTCTACCTGATTATATTCGAACTGATGTGATCTTGAATTGGTGGGAAAATCAATGCCGGAATTTTTGACATTTTTGTTGCTCTTTTTGTGCAGCAACCTGGATACGACATAATCGCACAGTTCATTATTGGATATATCCTTCCGGGGAAACCCATTGCAAATCTGCTTTTCAAGATTTACGGTCGGATAAGTACCATTCACGCTCTTTCTTTCCTAGCTGATCTTAAACTAGGGCACTACATGAAAATCCCACCACGAAGCATGTTCATGGCCCAGGTAAGTATTTTGCACTTGTCAATATCCGAAGAAATAATAATGACAGAAGTTACCCTTAATTTGTAGCTTCATCACGAATAACTCCACACTTGATCAAGGCTTGTAAAAATATAACAAAATATGTAATGGAGCCTCTATTGTATAGTTTTTGGGCTAAAATCTCATATTATCATAATGAAATTTTTCTCAATCTCAACATTTTTCTTATTTCTAGCTGGTGGGGACATTAGTTTCCGGCACGGTCAACCTTGGCGTAGCATGGTGGATGTTGGGAAGCATAGACAACATATGTGATGTTGAGGCATTGCATCCGGAGAGCCCGTGGACTTGTCCTAAATTCCGAGTCACCTTTGATGCCTCCGTCATTTGGGGTCTAATTGGGCCCGAGAGGCTATTTGGGCCAGGTGGAATGTACCGGAACTTGGTCTGGCTATTCCTTATAGGGGCTTTCTTGCCAGTTCCGGTTTGGATACTGAGCAAAATTTACCCGGACAAAAAATGGATCCCATTGATTAATATACCCGTTATATCCTACGGTTTTGCTGGCATGCCACCGGCTACACCCACCAACATAGCCAGCTGGATCATAACCGGGACTATATTCAACTACTTTGTGTTTAAATATAAGAAGATTTGGTGGCAAAGGTATAATTATGTTTTATCGGCCGCATTGGATGCCGGGACGGCTTTCATGGGTGTTCTGTTGTTTTTTGCTCTGCAAAATGAGGGCAAGAATGTAAAATGGTGGGGTTCGGAGCCAGACCATTGCCCTTTGGCTACTTGCCCGACTGCACCAGGGATTCTGGTGGAGGGGTGTCCTGTTTTCAGGTGATAAAAGAATGTGTGTTTGTTTTACAGTTTGTGTAATCCTGTGATTGAGAGCAAAATTGCTTCCATGCCCGTGTTGTAGAAAAGCAAGTTAATATTCAAGTGGCCACTTAGCTAGACGGCCGTCTGGTGTGTTGTATGTAGATCATGATCAATTGAGGAGCTAGAGCAATTTTTGCCTTTTCAAATGAATGACCTTTTGCTTTACCATGAGTCCCTAGATAAATGGCTGTTTCTTATTTTATTTTTTGAAAAGGGGCTGAACAAAAATTCTATGACTCATCGGATGGTTTTCTTATAGTGTCATTTATCACTTAATCACTTAATGTATTGACACATGTCCAAAGTGTATTTATTGTAGGACGTGTCAATACTTTATTTGTAAATATATGTGGATGGCTCCATAAGACGTGTCATCCGATGACTCCATACCAAAATTGAAGGGCTGAATTTTCGGCTGAGTCAATTAACTCCCGAGAGGTAAACAATTCACATTAACGACACACATAATGCGTAAGTAATACTATCACAAAGACTAAGAAGTTGCATGTGCTACGCATGTGATATTGCTGTTTTTTTTTTCTTAAAATTATTTTTACTATTAATTTATTTAATAGTATAATACTATTCTCTTCCCATTATTTAACAAAAAATAGTGTATTTCATGATAAACAACAATAAATGTATAATGAAATATAATGTTTAATAATATTACCGGTACTCTATGACAAATAACATTAAATAAAAAAATATTGGGTTGAAAATTCAAAATAAATTTAATAATTATTTTGTGAAATTTTAGATGCTAAAGAAATATATGTCGTTTTTTATTTTATTATTTAATGATATCGTTATTGTGCTTAAAATAATGATTATTATTATTTTCAACATAATTTAGTTTTTTATTTAAAAAACATAAACCTCAAAGTTTATCTACTGTTGGAGTAAAGTTTGAGGCATAAACCCCATACAAACCTCATATCGAGGGCCCACATTTTTACATATATTACCAAGTTGGCTTTCGTTATTTATTTATTTTTTATTTTCAAAACTTTTTTTTCCAGGGTGGGTGGCTGGTAAAAGTAAATGTTAAGGGCTTGATTGTTATGAAATAATTTGTTCAAATTAAGTTATTTTAGTTAACTACAGTTAATTTTGAAAAAGTCGATATAGTTAGTTGTAGTGAAATTTTAAGAATGTATTAAAATAATATTTAAAATAAAACAATTAAAATTGATTTGATATAAAAGTACGTATAGAGATAAATGATTGAAAATGATAGGTAGTTAAAATTATGTGAGTGGATGAATAGTGAATAAAAGCTGATGTGATGTGTAAGAATGATTGGTTTTTATTATTTAATTATATGAATAATATTAAAGATAGTAGGGTTGAGTTAAAGTTAAGTTAGATTTTAAGTTGAAATAAAAGTGAGTAAATTAATTTGTATACAAGCAAGCCTAAATGATGTAAATATTCGCAAAATTCTTATTTTTTTCATTTTTAAAATTATAAATAAAATATTAATTTTTTTGTGAAAATAAATTATTTTTGAGTCATATTCCACACCATTTAAAGTTACCATTTCTTTTTCCTACTTTTTGCTTATTGTATTTTTCATAATTTTTTTAGAATTTGTTTTTTTTTTATTATTTTATATACATTTGTCCTCTTATAATACCATAATAACTAAATTTTAATATTTATTATTATTAAAATATAAAAAAATATTTATTTATATATTTGTTTGTAAAGTAGGTGGAAAACACGTGTGACTAATTAAAAATGAGTTTATGAGATTTATTGTTATTTTCTCTCTCAAAATGATCCAGTTAGTCATCATAATTTTTCATTCTAAATTTGGGTAATTTTCAAATTTATGCTATGATATTTTATAAAAAAAATTGGGAAATCACGACAGCTCCTTTTTAAAATTTGGTTCTTTCCATTAATTTTTTTATATTCACTTGGTGAATTGATTTAAAAATAAAAATCGAAAGTACAAAATTTAAAAATATTGTGTAAAGAGAAGTGTTTCATAATATATGATTTTTTATCGTTTGTATTTATTTTATTTCTATAGTGAGATGAGATGTGAAAAATATAAACATTTATATTTAGAATCAAGCTTAAAACATGTTGGGCTCAGATGCGCAAATGCGGAAAATGTAAATTAAAATACTGACGTGAAATGGTGAACAATAATTCCAATCTCAGCAACTCAAGAATGACAAAAGAAAATCTCTTGCAATAATACCGGAATAATTCTTTTATGATGTGGAAGATCAGATTAAACTGCGACCACAGAGCATACTAAGAATATCCCAAATAAATAAAATATGAAAGAAATAAGACACCAAGATTTAACGTGGAAAACCCTCCAAATAGAGGAAAAACCACGGGACAACCTCTAAACAATTCCACTATATTTTCAAGATAATTACAATATCTTTTCACACTCCCTTACACAAGAAATGTAAAATATAGTGACCCAGTGAGAACCCCACTCCTAAACAAGGAATAATAGAGTTGATACCCAACCCGGTGTATATTTCTCACACCCACAGGATTTACTCAAACACTCTATTTTTATCTCACTGAAAAATAACACTCTAGAAAATTTCTTTTCTGCTCCTTTTCTTTCTCGCTTCTTGGTGCACTCTTCACTGCTGAATACCCCTTCTATTTATAGAGGAAGATGTCACAAGAACCTGCACCACATAGCTACTTTTTTTTTTTTCTTTCCGGTGCCAACTAAAGTTTGGCTGTTTGTGTTTGTGGCATATGGCTGGATTCTTCTTCTTTTGTTTGTTTATGTTTGTTTGCTCAACTATTACAATTTTTTATTTCTTTGAGCTGGACCAACAATTCTCCCCCTCCAGCCAAAGAGTAATATTGTGCAAATCTTTACATGCATTCCATGCCGATCAACTCGACACAAAGCTGAAGCTTTCCTCCTGTTACAACTTTCGTCATCATGTCAGCAGGATTTTTGTCAGTGTGAATCTTTTCCAACTTGAACTGTTGTTATTCCACTGCTTGACGTAGCCAATGATGTCTGACATCAATGTGCTTCGTGCGAGAGTGGTACATCGCATTCTTGCTCAAATCCAATGCGCTCTGACTATCACAATGGATATCGTACCTTTCCTGCTTCATTCCCAATTGTTGAAGAAACCTCTTCAACCAAAGCATTTCTTTGTCTGTTTCTGTCATTGCAATATACTCTGCTTCAGTAGTCGACAAGGCAACAGATTTCTGCAATTTTGATTGCCAAGATACAGCTCCCCCTGTAAATGTAAACACAAACCCTGAAGTAGATTTTCTACTATCCAAGTCACCTGCCATATCCGCATCTGTATAACCTTCAAGAATTGGATTTCCTTTTCCGAAGCTCAAGGACTTATTTGCACTGCCTTTTAGGTACCTCAAGATCCACTTCACAGCTTCCCAATGATCCTTCCCAGGATTGGAAAGATACCTGCTAACAATTCCAACCGCTTGAGCGATATCTGGTCTGGTACAGACCATGGCATACATCAAACTTCCGACTGCCGAGGAGTATGGAACACTCGCCATAGCTTTTTTTTCTTCTTGACTCGTAGGACAACTTCGCTTGCTGAGCTTGAAGTGATTGGCCAACGGCGTATTGACCGGCTTAGCCAATTTCATGTTGAATCTCTCCAGAATCCGATTCACATACCGTTCTTGCGATAACCATAACCTCTCGGATTTTCGGTTTCGCATGATCTGCATGCCCAAAATTTGTTTCGCAGGGCCCAGATCCTTCATTTCAAAGGACTTTGCTAAATCCTTCTTCAGATCACCAATCAGCTTCATATCATGTCCCACTATCAACATATCATCTACATATAACAAAAGAATAATGATTTTATCACCTGGAAATTTCTTGACAAACACACAATGATCTGCATCAGTCTTGGTATATCCATGACTCGCCATGAACGAGTCAAATTTCTTATACCACTGTCTTGGAGCTTGGTCCAGTCCATACAAGCTCTTCTTCAATCTGCAAACCATGTGCTCCTTTCCAGTATTCTCAAATCCTTCTGGCTGCTCCATGTAGATTTCTTCATCTAGGTCTCCATGAAGAAATGCAGTCTTCACATCTAGTTGTTCAAGCTCCAGATCCAAGCTCATCAATCCGAGTACTACTCGAATAGAGCTCATCTTCACAATCGAAGAGAATATCTCATCAAAATCTATTCCTTGCTTTTGTCCAAATCCTTTCACGACTAAGCGAGCTTTGTACTTTAACAGCTTGTCGTCATATTTCTTAAGCTTGAACACCCATTTATTTTTCAAGGCTTTCCTGCATTCCGGAAGTTTCACAAGCTCATAAGTTTCATTTTTCACCAGTGAATCCATTTTTTCTTGCATAGCTTTCATCCAATGAGATTTATCCTTATGAGTCTGAACTTCTTCAAAGCTTTCTGGCTCCCCTTCTTCAGTGATGGTAATGTACGTGGAACTAGGGTATCTCGTAGATGGTTGGATCGCTCGATTTGATCTCTTGAGCTGAGGTGGAGTTTTGAGGTCTTCCTGCTCGACACCTTCACCATCACCATCTTCTATTGCTGGCTCATCATCAATCCTGAGTTCTCCATCACACTCTCCCCCTGCTGTGGCATCTCCAGGAGGTTTGACAGGTGAAAGATCCACCTTTCCACTTGGTTCTCTTGTTTCTGGTGAAGCAGAATCAGACATAGTTTCTTGCTCATGGAACACGACATCTCTGCTTCTGATAATTTTTCAATTTTCTGGATCCCATAACCTGTAGCCAAATTCCTCATCTCCATAGCCCAGAAATATACAAGGAATGGCTTTATCGTCAAGTTTTCGTCTCTGTTCCTTGCTTACGTGAGCAAAAGCTTTGCATCCAAACACCTTTAAATAAGAGTATTTAACATCATGTCCGGACCATACTCTCTCAGGGATATCAAAGCCCAAAGGAACAGATGGAGATCGGTTGATCAGGTAGCA